AAGAGCTTGCGTGGACCCCGCGGTGCCATGATCTTCTTCCGCAAGGGTGTGCGCCGGCAGAACGCGAAGAAAGAGGATGAGATGTACAACCTCGAGGGCCCCATCAACAACTCCGTCTTCCCTGGTCACCAGGGAGGCCCCCATAACCATACAATCACCGCCCTGGCCGTTGCCTTGAAGCAGGCACAGGCTCCTGAGTTCCGCGCATACCAGACGCAGGTTTTAGCAAACGCAAAGGCGTTTGCACACAGACTGGGCGCTCCTAAGGAGAAGGGAGGTTTGGGTTACAAGCTGGTGTCAGGCGGCACCGATAACCATCTCGTGCTTGCAGACCTGAAGCCGCAGGGTATTGACGGTGGTCGTGTTGAGCGTATTTTGGAGCTTGTTGGTGTCGCGGCGAACAAGAACACCGTTCCCGGTGACAGGTCAGCACTGGTGCCTGGTGGTCTGCGTATGGGCACACCAGCCATGACAACAAGGGGATTCAGCGAGGAAGACTTTAGCCGTGTCGCTGATGTCGTTGACCGGGCCGTCACCATTGCCGTCCGTATAGACAAGAGCGCAAAAAAGACTGCCGAGGAGAAGGGAGAGAAGAAGCCTGGTCTGCTGAGACACTTCATGCAGCATCTTGGCGACGGAGAAACTGACCCAGAGATTGTGCAGCTGAGATCTGAAGTGGCTGACTGGGTCGGCACATACCCGTTGCCGTGGGACGTCCGCTCTTGAGCAATTGGGGCCGCAGTTCATGAAGGAATGATGGGTGAGCACTTGGACTCGGGACATGAGGGGTGCTGATCCATTTCGGCGTTTTATTGGGGTCCTTGGCTGCTTTCAGGCTGTGCGAGAGCGGTCGCGCCTCCCCACGCTTATCGTTTGTGTGTTCTTTTTATATCAAGGGCTTTCCACCAGTCCTAACAGCATGTTGCGCTGACATGTTGCATGGAGCATGCGTCTCCATTTACACAAAATTCATCATCCTCAACGAGATACGGAAATTAAAAAAAAAATGATGTGTAAACATTTTCAAGATTTGCCGACCCAGATAGAGCCAAGCTTCGATGACTGTAACGTTGGCCTGCTTCACCAGCAAACCTCACAGCGCGCCCCTTTTCTGGTTTGCTTGTGTTATTCGAGGCTTTTTCTTTTTTTTCTTACAAAAAGGTATCAAGCAAACAATACGCTCCGAGGCTTTCCCGCGCATCATGGACCTATTCCTCAGATACCCAGGAGCTGTAAGATGAATCCGTCCCTGGGTATCTTCAATCACCAACGTGAAGTGAGGATAATTTCAAGGCGTGCTTGCGCCCTCCGGCCGGTCTGTTCCCAGCACTTTGGTAGTCGAGTCTCTGCTCTTGAACCTCTCGTAATACTCCTTCAACTTTCCAGTCGCGACGAGTGCCTCAGCACCATACTTCTCCACAATGGTGTGAAGCACTGGCCAAACGGCGAAGTCGGCCAAAGAAACTCTCTCTCCCGCAATAAACTCCGACTCTCCGGAGTAGCCTCCCCAGATAGCCAGCTCTTTGTTTAGGGGTTTCAGGTTACGCCTGCCTTCGTCGTCTCGCTCGAGTTGGCGCCATTTTTCGAGCAATGCGAGTCCTTGCTGGAAACGGGTCAGGATCCTCGCCAGGTCTGAGTGCGACTTGCCAGCGGCTTCTGCTCTTGCTGAGCCATAGATGCCGTCAAGGTACAACATGATTGCCAGCTCGCCCTGTACCGTGGACTTGACGGCGTCGTTGTCGATGAATCTGATCGGCGGGCTTTCAGGGATCGTAGAGGTGTTGTTTACACTTTCGCCGTCTTTCCAGTTGAAGGACGAAGACATGCTGCCCTTTGCGTAAGAAATATCATACTCGGCTAGCATCAGGGCGATGCGTGTATTGACGACGGAATCAGCTGAGACGCAGAGTCGAGGTGAGTGGTTCATGTGAAGAACGTCGAACCCCTTACCGTAGTGCCGGTCCCAATCGAACGTGGTAGAATGGTTCTCCGTGCCAAAAGCGTGCAGCATTTCCACGGCCTCAGGGCTTTGCCCATTGATAACGGGCTTGGCCTCATCTCGGGCCTTGCATGTCGCTCCTTGGCCCCAGATCACTGTGCTATCGCGATCCAAAAAGGTACCAATCTGTCGGAAGGTGAGGGAGATGCGGCCGCCTGAGAAGGCCAGTTCAGCAGGAGTCTTGTCGCGCTCCATCCTCTTGTCCTGCCTGATGGCGTGCAGCCAGCGCATGTTGGTCTTCAGGCCCATGCGGCACAGAGAGTTGTGTGGCAGCTTTGCGCGGGCGATTTGGCGCTTCTTTGAGTCTTCTCCGGATGGTGACTCAGTACTAGACGGGTCCTTGTCCCGTCTTTTAGTCCTGAACACCATCGTTCGTTCCGCCCCAAGGCTGACGTTGGCGATGTAAGATCCCTTGACAATATCCAGGGTCTTATCACTGTGCTCGGAGATGTAGTCGGTGCTGTCACGATAGAACTGAATCAGGGCGTGGTTCAGCGGATGGCCGAGCTGTTTCTCGACCTCGGTCTTGATTTCGCGCACTGTTGGCGAAAAGAACAGAAGAGGGGGCGATTCGTCAGATGGATGACGGTAAACTGGCATGCTGCCATCGCCAGCCACTTCCCCCTGAACGGCGACTAGACGAGGGACTTCGCCGCCTTGGTGCGACATTCTCTGCCAGCTGACTTCATCTCTGACTTTCTCAAAGATGCCTTCAGCCAGAGGCTCGGGGATGATGTTGTGGATGACAGTGGTGTCTCCCTCACAGAGAGGTTCCGAGACCTTCAGGGCGTCTTCGTTGTCGACTTCTTCGCTGCTCATGGTTCCAGTCCCTGTGGAGGCTATTGTGGTATCTACTTCAAGTTCTGGGTCGGATGCAGGTGTTTTTTCATCGTCAGAGGCAGCTTCAATTATTTGAGGGCCGTTTGTGGTATCTTCCTCCGGTTGAATAGCAGCATCCGGGTTGCGAGAAACCTCTATGACCGGTGACTCACTGATGATTGGTGCTGCTGATGATGGCTGTGCATCCGGGTCGACTTCCAACATATCGGAGATGGTTGCACACTCTGAGTCATCCGGGTACCGATACCTTGCTGACCTTGCAGGCCTCGAGGCTGGAGAGGGTCTACCGACGTCGTTTTCGAGTTTGAGCCCGGCCAGCTTTTCCTCGAGGGACTGGGATTTTGGAGTTGAAGCGTCACTGGCCACCAGAATTCCATCATCGGCCGTTTCTCTGAGCCTTCTTGGTACAACAGGCGAGGGAGAACTGGAAGCGGCCGAAGCCGGGCTTTTCTTGGCTTGCAGTTTCTCGACGACGGCTGTACCTTCGAGTACATCACAGCCGGTTAGATCAACGAGACTTCGCATAGTATTACTTAGGCGAAGTTCGGATATGAAACCACAGCAATCCTCGACGAGAGTGATGGAATAGCCGTACTTGACAGCATCGACGGCAGTGGCATGCACACCAACGTTGGCGAGGGAACCACAGAGAAAGAGCTCGGTGACGAACTTGAAGCGCAGCATCTGCAACAGCTGGCCCGACTTGAAGGCAGAATAATGAGACTTGAGGAACTTGATATCGCGGGGTGCGATGGCGTCTTTGACGGCAGCTGGGAATTGGGCACCTGAGGTGGAAGGGCGAACGACGGGGGGGCCGGGCTGGCTGAGAAAAGCCTCGTGATCGCGGTCCGTATCTGGCTCTTCAGACTCTTGTTGGACGGCGGGTCGGCGGCGGTAGCGAGATGTCAAAATGGTGGGCTTGGGCATGACATCAGTAGCCAGGATCTGTTCTGCGGAAGAGGGGCGGTGCTTTTCAAATTCGGTGTGTACCCAGATGATTTCGCCAGTCTTTCGAAAAGCCTTGACGAGGTCGAGGGTGCGCGAAACTAATGCATCAGGCTCAGCAACGGGGAGAGCGCCGTCGGCGGCAAGGAAGTCGTTCTGGAAGTCGATGACCAACAGGCCCTTGCGGGTAGGCAACGTTGGCATGACATTTGGGTCGAAGGGAAACATTGCGACAGTGGGAGCGGTCTCAAAGTATCCAACAAAAGTGCATGTTTGGTGGGTGTTGTTAAGTTTGAACCCGAGGAGTGACGTTGCTGCGGCAAGGTCACGATGATAGTGAGTGAGCGCAATCGAGGAGATGAGTCGTAGCAAGGATGCAAATTGACGATGAAAGAAGTCGGTCTGGTGCTGTCTGTCTGTTCTTTAATGCTGTGTTTCGTTTCCTGCTAGGACGAAGGGAAAGAAATATGGATGAGTCGGTGGGATGATGCCTGGCGGTCGGTTCGTGAAAGGCGGTGTTGGTGTTGGTGTGGGTGGTATGTAATTATCAGTATGGAGGTTGTCGGCGTTGGACCCTGCGTTGCGAGGGGAGTTTGAATAGAACGGAACGACTGGGGTTAGTGGTGAGGGGAGCGCAAAGCCCTTCTTTCCCCTGGCTCCCGCCCTGCTCGAATCGGACCTCGCCCGATCCGTGGGCCTCGCAGATACCTTACCTAGTACCTACCTAGGTAGGTAAGGTAAGGTAGGTAAGTACGAATAAGGTACTGTGGGCAGTGGAGGGCAGCCTCCCTCCAGGCACCTCAGCCTCCAGGCAGGAAGCAGCATACCTGGGCGGTGCAGGTGCCATCGGCCTCACGCAGCCCTACCAGGAAGAACATCCGCCGCCAACCAACCAACACTCGAATGACACCACCCACACGACCTCAACGCACACATCGTCACCCAACGCCGGCCAGATGTTCAGGCATCCCCAGTGAACTGACTTATGGACATAAAATCTTTTGCAGATTACCCCCGCCCGCACTCATCCGAACGTCAACTCCTGAACTGACTCCGCATCGCCCAAGGTTTTGAATGCCTAGTCATTTCTGCCCATGTTTATAGGATGACATCTAGTCTATATGGATGCCTCTTGGTTTATTTCCATGTCTATCTATCCCTCCACGTTTGAGACTCGCCGTTTCGCACCCCCACGGCTGTGAGAATGTTGATATTTTCAATGCAAATCTTCAAGTATCTGCACAACCTCCACGAAACGCGGTCTGTCTCCGACCACAGGGGTCGAGCATCGAGCAAGCAGCTGCTGTAGTCCCTCGATCGTCCGCCGCTTCTTGTCCATCTCCAAATGGCCCGGGCCCGTTACTCCCAAGAGGTCCTCAACTAGATGACCGAAGGCAAGAATCTCCAACCTCTCAAAGTCGAGGCCGTTGAGATTTTCATATACCGTCGCCGCTCCAAAGTCACCGAGCAGGGCATGTCCCGCCTCGTTGAAGAGAATGTTGTGGGCATAAAAGTCGCAATGGGATACCTTACGACCGTGCAGGTGGAGAGCTGCCGCTGCAACGCCAGCAAGAATCTCCAAAACAGTGTCCAGCGGCAGCTTTCTCCCGTCTTCATAGCGGTCCCTCGTACAGGTCTGCAGGGAAGGAGGAAGCCCCAGAGTCTGGTAGTGGGGCGGTATGAGCTGCATAACGAGGCCATGCTTCTCTGGGTGCCCATCAATGCTTGCCAGTGTGCTGATTAGGTTCTTGTGCGATCCTGCTGCGAGACAAGCTGACATCTCATCGAGAGGTGTCCCGTCGCTTGTTACTTCGCCCTTGAACAGCTTGATGGCCACTTCCTCTACGACGGAGTCGGCCAACATCCATCTCGCTTTGAAGATGTCACCCGAAGCTCCGTGGCCGAGCAAACCTTCGACCTCTAGATCATGCCAACCCACTTTGCGAAGCTGAGCCACTTCGTGTTCGAGGGTGATGGCGCAGCATGGATTACCAGCCACCGAAAAGAACGCCAGCTCAGGCAGCTTGAAAAGCCAGGGTGGCAGATGGTTGAAATCGTTGGCGGAAAGACGAAGCAAGCCGAGCTTCTTGCACGCAGACATCTCGTCGGGCAGGTTTTTCAAGCGATTGCCTGCGAGCATGCATTTCTGAAGACGCGCGCATTTGCCAACACTTCTCGGGAGGTTTTCGATGTGGTTGTTGGTGAGGATAAGCCAGCGCAGCTTACGGGGCAAAGCATCCTCCGGGATGGTGCTCATGCCGTTGGAGCGGAAGGCCACCATTTCGAGTTCCGGGCATTGTGCCAGCTGCTTGGGAAAGGCTTTGAAGTTGCAGTCCGAGAAGAAGGCAATCTTGAGCTTACGCAGTTGACCGATGCTGTCAGGTAAAGTGGAAAGCCCCGTGCCAGAGAGATCCAGATGCTCAAGCGTATCGGCGAGTTGAAGAATCTCTGAGGGAAACTCGCTCAGGGGGCCAGCGAGCTTCAGCTTCTGTAGGCCAAGACCACGGTAGCCACCGCTACGCAAGGTTTCCAGGCTCTGCATGGTACCGCAACGATAGATAGTGGACTCGTTCTGTGTATAAGGTAGGGACTCGTGATCGAGGGCGTGGGGGATCAAATGATAAAGAGTGCGGCCCCCTGGCTCGAGATTCCGTTGAGACTCGGGCTGAGATAGGGACAACTGCTGGCGCTTGACTCAGACACGCGAGGATGGCAATGAGAACTGAGCAGAGGGCGGCGTTCTCTCCCGCTATCTCTCCAACTCGGCAATATTTAGTAGGTGGAAGCTGCATTGGACAGCTGGCCATATCGTAGCGGGAGGAAAGACGGGATCGGGCATATTAAAGGTAGAGCGATGTGTGGAACACCTGGAACACTGCTTCTTTGACTGCCACGCCTGTGTCACACAGATAAGATAGTAGCACAGCCCGCCAGCGACGGGTCTCGACTCGAGTTGAGCTATCCGTAAATTGACACACTAAAAGGAGCTATGGAAATGAAAAAGACAAGGGCAAATCGAGAGCCATCCTGAGACCACATGGACGAGTTTCGAGTCCCATATGAACGCGAATCTAGGTACGCCATTAAACGCAGGGAGACGACGACGAGTGAGGCGAACCAATTGGCTGGGATCACCCACTGTACGTATTTGTATTTGGCAACAACCTGCACTGAACTCCCAAGAGCCGACGCAAGGACCACCTGCCCCAATCTACCTAAGGTACAAAGCACATACCTACTTTAGGTACTAAGGAACCTTCAACCTCCGATGCTTCCTCGCCAATTTTGCTGCTGGAAAGTACGTACCGACCGACAGTTTCCGTCCAAACAGCTGCAACTTCCATATCAAAAACTGCGACGATCTATCAACTCTCTCGAGTCGGCTGGGTCATCTGCTTCAACAACAGCGCCCGGCACCCATCGCCTGTCGCCCGTCCTTGTTCCGCCGAACTTTCGTAGACGAAAACATCCTGAAATTCGAAAGCCAGCGCGTCATCGACCCGCGTCTCGATACGCGGGCTTCGCCTGAGCTTCGCGCCATGTCCGCACCTGCCTCACCCGCTGCGGCCACGAGCCCACGCAAACGAAACTCGCCCAGTGACGAGGAGGAGTCCAACGCGAAACGGCAGAAGACCGATCTTGGGCTTTCCGCGACACCCGCCGAAGACGACGAGTCGTTACTCCCATGCGCAACCAAAGTCATCATCCCTTCCCTCGACTACCAAGCAAAAAGCGGCCTTGAACGTAGTATTGGCTTAGCGTTGCAACATGTTGGCTTTGACTCCGCCACTACCGAGGCTATGGAGAGCTATTTGGTGACAGTTGAGACCTGTGAGAATCCATAGGGGACCCTGACAGCCGCACATTTGAGCTAATCTCCAGCGTAGACATGGCTTCTTTCATCGAGGACCTCAAACGAGTTTCTCTCGCCGCGCGCCGCGAGCAACCAACGCCTGCCGACTTCGAGTCTACAATGCAACGCTTCACCCTCAAGACGAAGGCACTCAGACCTCACGCTCGCCAACCCGTCCCCAAATCTAAGCTCGCCGTCGACTACTTTGACCCGATGCCCGAGGACCCCGATGCGCATACTACCTTGCCACTTCTTGGAGAAGAGCTGAGTGGCAGGCCAGAGAAGGAGGCCAAACCGTACATTCCCAAATCGTTTCCTGATTTCCCGAGCAAGCACACGTACAAGTACACGCCAAAGGAGGACGACAGCGGACGAGATCCTCAGAAAATGAGGGACGAGGCTGCAAAGGCATCGAAACAAGGCGAGGAAGCCTTGCGAGGCTTGGTAAGGGCGACTAAGATGCGGAAGCAGAAGGAGGTCAGATCACTGTCGGAGCGCGACCCTATGACCAAGGAGCGCTACTCGCTATGGGCCGCGGCTATGGAGGGGTTCATGAAGAAGGAGGGAGGGGCAACCGGACAGCTCGAGATCGCCGACCACAGCATGATTGTCAATTCGGATGCGCGACACTTGCGCAGAGAGGTGCAGCGTCAGGGGAAACGAGCTGCGGGTCAAGGTTAAGAGGGCAGATGTCGGCAGGGGCTTGTTTTTCCTGCATGGGAAGAATCGGCAACGGTAATGGTGGCCGCAGATGTTCTCTACGGGCGTGCCGGCACAATAGTCGTTTACGGTTGTCGCATTCAGTCGGAGGGTGCGAAGAATTATCTCGCATCAAAATGCATTCAGCAGCAAGGCGTTTAGGTTTGGGAAATATGCCGTTTAAACCACCAGGCAGGAGGGTAAATCAACAGGGGGCATGGGCATGCTCACAGTAACAACCAAGGTTTCCGAGGCATCTGCGACTATGCGGTTCCATGATCAAGAAAGGAGAAGGGGACGCCCAGGCACGGACAGACTTGCAGGGCTCAGCAGCGGTAGGAGCAGATAAAAATCCATACATGGGCTGTGAGAGACCCTATGTAAGCTTTGAATCCTGCACAACTTATGTTCTGCTCCGTACCGTACCTAGGTCCAGTCGTTCCCGACCCAAGTCCCATTGCACGTCTGCAGGCGTGCCCGCCGTCGCCCCTGCACAGTGACATGCAACTCTGAGCGCGCAAAGTGGAGCCAATCAGCCTCGTCGCAGCGCTGCCGCCACGCAGGACGCCCATTGGTCGCAGCCCCACCGACAGCCTCTTCCACGCTTCGCGTAGGATACCTTAATCCGAAGAGGGCTTTTTTTTCGCCCACACACAAATTCCTGAATTCAGCAAGAGCTCCAAGGGTCAAAGGTGTGACCTCAGAATCAACTCCAACCTTTCTCACCTTTCTCTCACCACTCAATCGACCTGATTGCCTCATTTCCCAATGGCTGAGCAGTTGATTCTCAAGGGTACCCTCGAGGGCCACGTAAGTTGCTGCTTGCCCACTCTCCGCGCCGACGCCGTTGCTGCTGCCGCCGCCGCCGTCGCGGGCGATTTTTGTCTGCAAAATTTGGACCACCAGAACTGACGAGCATGCTCTCTGCAGAATGGCTGGGTCACCAGCCTGGCTACCTCCATGGAGAAGTACGACTCCCATCGATGAATCCCACGGTGCTTTCTCGACACGGAACGGGTTCCAGAAACCGAGACGAGGAGAGAGATGCGCTGGTGGTCGAATCTGAGGCTTGAGAGCTTTGGTCGCTAACTTTTGTCGCCAGCCCCAACATGCTCCTGTCCGCCAGTCGTGACAAGACTCTGATCATCTGGAACCTCACCCGTGACGAGTCCCAGTACGGCTACCCCAAGCGCTCCCTCAAGGGCCACTCCCACATCGTCTCCGACTGCGTACGTCTCCTCGACCCCTCTCGGACCCCGCGAAAATTCTGCGCCGTCTAGGGGCTGTTGACCAACTTTGGGCTGATGGAGGAGTGAATACAGGTTATCTCGTCGGATGGCGCCTACGCCCTTTCCGCCTCGTGGGACAAGACTCTCCGCCTCTGGGAGCTTGCCACCGGCACCACCACCCGCCGCTTCGTCGGCCACACCAACGACGTCCTGTCCGTCTCCTTCTCCGCCGACAACAGACAAATCGTCTCTGGTTCCCGTGACCGCACGATCAAGCTGTGGAACACCCTCGGTGACTGCAAGTACACCATCACCGACAAGGGCCACTCCGAGTGGGTTTCCTGCGTCCGCTTCAGCCCCAACCCCCAGAACCCCGTCATTGTCTCCTCCGGCTGGGACAAGCTCGTCAAGGTATGTGGAAAATTTCCCCGTGGAACCGTTCTTTTTTTTTTTCTTGGACAAATCTTCGACATGATGTTTTGCAACCAAAAGTATTTGCTACTTCAGAGCCTGTTTTTTGCAGGCCATGAGACCACTATTCACCAATGCACTGATCTCGCACCCTCGAATCCATCTTTTTTTTTGCCTCTGTATCCACTCTCGGAATGGACGTTGAGGGCTAACACTGGCAATTCCAGGTCTGGGAGCTCTCCACCTGCAAGCTGCAGACCGACCACATCGGCCACACCGGCTACATCAACACCGTCACCATCTCCCCCGACGGCTCTCTCTGCGCTTCCGGTGGCAAGGACGGAACGACCATGCTCTGGGATCTTAACGAGTCCAAGCACCTCTACTCCCTCAACGCCAACGACGAGATCCACGCCCTCGTCTTCTCTCCCAACCGCTACTGGCTCTGCGCTGCCACTGCCAGCAGCATCATCATCTTTGACCTTGAGAAGAAGAGCAAGGTTGACGAGCTCAAGCCCGAGTTCACCGCTGTCGGCAAGAAGAGCCGTGAGCCTGAGTGCGTGAGCTTGGCCTGGAGCGCCGACGGCCAGACCCTGTTCGCCGGTTACACCGACAACATCATCCGTGCCTGGGGTGTCATGTCGAGAGCATAAAGGGCATAAAAGCTCTCTCTGTCTCTCTTCTGGGTTATGGATGGCGATGACGATGTGTGGTGGGGAAAGGGCTCTGAGATGGTAGATCATGGCGGGCGTCCTAGGCTGGCTTCCTCGTTTGGTCTTTCGGGATGCGCAGGGTCAAATCGATTTGTGAAAAATGGGGATGAGACTGCATTGCTGGCTTATAGGTAGCCTACGAAAGGACTCTGGACATGAAACCCACGTAACGCCCAAATCAAAAGATCCTGGCAAACAAAATATGCTGTTTTCTGTTACAATTCTCGGTGAAGCCGACCTCATTTTGCTGTGACTGTTTCTGTATGCTGCCCGTGTTTCTATGTCCCTTGTGACCGGGATGGGTGATGTTCTACTGTAGTGTGTTGGGACAACCAATTTGCCAAATTTCGCTGTGGTTCGGAAGGAGCAGCAAGTAGCACTAATTCCTACTCGCCTCAACCTACAACTGCTCACCTCTATTTCCACTTCGGGCCTTGTTCGTGGTTTCACCGTCAAGATCGTGGGTCCAGATGCTCTAAAGAGTATGACGTTTAAGTACGAAATTGATTGGATATGTACTGAATATGGCTAACTGTGTATCCAAGATGTTGAATATATTCAAAGAAAGGGAGTGTTGGCTCATCACGTCGGGATGGGAGTACGCAAGGGCATTTCCCCTTTTTTTGCCCTCCTCACCCTGTTTCCTGCTTACAGTGGGACTCTGCCAAGATACCGAGCAAGAAGCCTTCAACTCGCCATCTAGAACGCAGGCTTGGCATTCTTGAGGAGCATCTCAAAGTAGGCCTGGTTCCAGGTTCCGGCCTCCGGCGAGGGCTTGTAGGCGTCGGGCTTGCCGCAGAAGGAGTCGTAGCGGACAGCGCTCGAGTCGCTGGTGCCATCAGACTCTCCGCCGGGCTTGACCCACACGAAGGCATCGGCCAGCTCGAGGCCGGTGTTGGCGCTGGGGCGGAGACCGAAGCCGGCCCCGTTGACGTTGCACCAGTTGCCCCACTCCTCGCGGAGGCCCTGGACGCCGTTGCGACCGGTGTCGACGATGGCGTGGTTGGGCATGCCGGCGGTCTGCAGAGCGGCACCGAAGAGTGTGACATACTTCTTCTCGTTCTGGGCCTTGTTGTACTGGGCATCGGGGTCAGAGGCGAACTCACCGGGCTCAGCGTCCCTAATCATGTCCAGTCAGCATCCTTTAACCCTTATGTAAGTCGTCTGAAAGGAGACTGAATGCTCACCAGGAGTTCCAGCCGGCGACGTTGGTGGCGAAACCGCGCAGTTGCGACGGGCTGCCGGCGGCCTTGTACGCCCTGGCGAGCTCCTCAGCGCCGGGCTTGAGGTTGTCGTTCCAGCCAAGCCAGCCTCCGTGGCCAGCATCCATGTACATGACGACGTTGGGAAGGTTGAGGTTCTTCAGAGCGTAGGCGACGCCGTCGCGGTAACCCGCGGCCGAGTTCTGGCAGGTTTGCAGGTTGATGTTGGTGACCAGGTTGGGGAGGGAGTCCGGCTCGATGACAAGGGCAAAGGCCGTGTTGGGGTTCGCCTTGATGATCTTGACGATGGGGTCGATGTACTGCGACTGGTACTTGGAGAGTTCGCCGACCGCGAGCTCGCCGTTGGAAGCCTTGGCAGCGCAGTCACGGCCCGGGAGGTCGTAGATGACGACACCCAGAATGTGGTCACAGGGGGTGTCAGCAATGGCAGGATCAAGACGCGCAATGTTTGCAATGGTGTCACTGAACGGTCATCGTTAGTCTCCCTTAATGTTCTGTCGGGCGGACGGTGAGTTTTGGGACGGCTTACACCCATACGAAGGAACCGACATCAGCGACCTTGAGAGCCTGTTCCTTGAGAGTGCCGCTCATGCCTGCGGCGGCAGCCTGGATCTCAGCCCTGTAGAAGTTGTTGGGGTGCAGGGTGTATTTCGAGAAGACGTTCGTCTTCGCATCCAAAGAGACGGCCGAAGAGCACGCAGAGACGGCTTCCCGGGGTTGCTCCTTGCGTGTGGTCGAAGGCGCAGCAATGGCCGTCGAGGCCAAAGCCGCCAGAGTGGCGGTTGTGAACTTCATGTTGATGCAAATTCTCTTGGTTTAGCTGTTCTTCTTTTGTGATGCTGAGTTGTCTGATGAGAGTCCAAGGGTGAAGGTAGATAGTACCATATATATACACCTCAAACCTTCAAGGCCAGCCAGTTTGTGAATCCCGTAGACAACATTACGTACTTGCGATCTTCAAGAGCACTCGCCTTCAAAGCGACATCAATCAGGAAATAGGCCCGACAGTTGCGAAGGCTTCGGCCAGCTCTCTCCGCGTTGCGAAAATGCAGTTGCCTTGAAGGGCAAGCCAAGGCTGGTGGAAGAGGACGAGCCGTCTGGGAAGATTGATCTTTCGAATTGGCATGTCTGGGCAACTTTAATCCAGGGGGGTCGATATGAATCCCATCGTCAGTTAAACAGGCAACATGGGATGGGCGTCCTGAAGCGGCTTCTTCAATGGCGATCCTCCAGTCAGATGGTCTCCCAGTGTTGGCCTGCTTTATTGCTTGCAACCCCCGCAACATGAGAAAGCCTTAGATGCTTCCATCCGGGCTAGGCGGAGGAAAGTATCTAAGCCCTGTAAGCATTTCATGATCCACGAGTGGCGAGACAGGGTATTGTAGTGTTGGCGAGCCTCGACTGGCACTTCCGCCCAACTCTCGTACTCAGGACATGTTTACCCGCTTTCGTATGCTCGCTTTGCCATCACCAGTGCTGCCTTGTGGGATCTTCAAACTACTCGAAGCGTGAGAAAGAGCAGAAGCCAGTGCCAGTGGACAGTATCAACCTGGCATTTCTTTAGTGTGCGCGTGCCCAGTTCGATCTGATCTGTACCTGCGTATAAGTCGTCGACTAGCGGCCGCCTCCACAATAGATGCAATCATGCCAACTCAAGTAGGGGCGAGGATAACACAACGCAAAGTAAACTGTGAATGAAAGGAGGGGGCCGGGAGAAATGCCGTGGCGGTAATCCCACATCGGGAAGCAGGTACAGCAAACTCCCCGCCACTAATTGTCATCCATTTATTGCCGCCATGAATATGAGTATTGTTGAGTCGACTTTAGCCGGCGAACCCCAGATCGACAGCACGAAGTTGGGCGCCGGCGCTAAGCTCGTTGCTCAAGCTCTCTTGGCCGGCTAAAATATCCGAGCAGGGCCGCAGCTTTTTGGCTGTCTCGCTAACCAATTTGCCAATCGTTGCCGAATAGGACGTTGCCCATTCGTGCAAAATTGACGATGTATCGTAGCCCTCTGTTATATTAACTACACTCCCTCCCCCCCTCGCCTCCTTGCTAAGAGCAGCGTGAAATTGAGCACGACACACGGCGCGGACCAAATAGTCGCTGATCCTCCAACTTACAGCAAGTCACAAGAGCGGAGCTGCCCGGTAACATTGCAAAGCTTTCAAGGTATCACGAGATTCAAGTGGACGTCTCCAAGGTTCCTGTCCGAACTTCATTCGTAAACGCGGGGTTGGGTCTCGTCGCGGAGCAACCTTCCGACCAGTGCGCATCCAGATTGCTTCCACATTGCGCTTAAGTACCCGATACCACCATGGCGCTTGGCGGCAATGGGACGATGGGTGGTGAGAGGAGCAAATTTGTCAATTTGATTGTCTCCTGCCTGAATAGGCCTCTGTTTCTGTCGCAGGAGAGTATCTGGAACTCGCTTCTCATGGGGTCATGAAGAATGTAGTGGCCGGGTGAGGTGAGAATGGCATTGACTACGACAGCGGCATTGCGGCGCGACGAAGCGACACAGCGATGGCAAAGACGCGGATGGCAACGCGGGCTAACCACGGCAACATGTCAGTCGATGATATCTGGAGTGGGCTTAGTATTCGTCCTTACAGCAAGACCATGTCAAGGTAGAATGGCAAGGTAGACTGCGTCGTGTCATCCCAACAACAGCAGCAGAAATTTGGACCAGTCCCGAACACTCGACTTGAGCATGCCAAGTCTTCCGCCAATGATCACCCCAGGAGATCCTGTCGTAGATTTCCGAAGTCCAACTTGTACATTGTCATTGCAGTGGCCATTTCGTCCTCTGTGACCACTTTCTATATCTTTATTTTACACTCCTGTCAACGAGGACATTGGGTCGTTTGGCTGCAGCAATAAAGCGTGCCGAGCAACGATGTAGAAACGGCCCATTTTGTGGCGTTGCTGCTTGGAAGTATACCTCCAATGCGTTCGGCTTAACAAGTGCCTCCTTACATGAAAGGAGGAAGAGAGAAGGGGTAGCCGCCGTTCTTGATGCGGAAGACGCTGAGGAGGAAGCTGTACATGAGGAACAAAACACCGCCCCAAGCCAGCACAGCAACCTGCTGCGTCTTTGAGTCGCCAATACGAGGAACCTTGACGGTAAGAGAGATGGCACAGAAAGCCAAGACACCATCTAGTAACTGTCAGCTGCGACGCACAAGTTTGGAGACAGTTGCGAGGCTTACAAATGGCAGCCACGATCTGGGTCTCCAAGCCAAATTGGTTCTGGAAGCCACCGGCAAAGTAGCTGATACCGCCGCGGCCATCTCCGGCAACATAGGGAACCTTGCGAATGTGGTTGAACATGTGTCCGCTGGTGAAGAGAAGGATGGCAATGAGGCTGACGGCGGCCCAGAGATTGCGGTTCTGGATGATGGGCAAAATGTAAGGCGAGGCAGTGACGACGACCGTGCCCAGACCAAGAATGATGGTGATGGAAGAGATCCAGCGCATCCAGTTGATAGGACGCTTGACCGGAGGGTGAGGCCGGTCAGCCAGGTGTCGCGAGAGCCATGCGTGGACTTGATCGGCAGACTGAGGTCTACGTTGTGTGTCAGTTTATTTCTTCAGTGACAAGGATTATTCAAACCAACCCGCTGGTGAAATCGTATTGCAAAGGCTCCTGGGCAGGGACAGCGTGAGGGCCGACGGTGGGCTGGAACAGGAGGAGGACGGGAGCGGTTTGGAGGCCGAGCTGGTCGTCGTATTAGTCCATGTCTTGTCTCGGACAATGGGGCGGTGGTAAGGTGAGAACTTACCGACATGAAGACCTCACGACCGTCAGAGAAGTCCAGAGTGCCGAAAATCAAGCGGGACTCGCCCTTCTTATCGCCCTTGGTCCAGGACTTGCCGAGAAGATCCCATTCCGGCTGGAACTCTCTGCAAAGCTGGCAGCCGAAGCGAGACTCGAGAGCCGTCAGGAGGACGGCAACGGTGTAGTCGCGGGGGGTGGCGGTCAAGGACTTGTAGCTGGTGTCGGCGAGCTTGATCGGAGAGGAGGAGAGGGCCTTGGTATGGAATTCGTTGAAGCGCTCCTCGGTGGTCTTCTTAGCAGCGAGAGAACCGGCCGCCAGGAACGAGGTCGCGGCCAAGAGGGACTGGAGGAAGCGCATGGTGAGTTTCGTTGCGGGCCCAGAAGCTATTGTCGATTTCGTGAACGCTCGCGCGGGAAATTTGTGTTTGTTTCGTGGCCAATTGGCCTAGGTGATGTAGTTGAATCGGCGTACGTAGCGAGTGGGTGCGCCGCGAGTGTCGTTGAGATGCGGCAAGCTGATGCAGCTTGAACTGGACAGCTCTCATCAGCGTCGCCAGCCCACAGTGGTGTGGGTCAACCTACCAGTGCTTTGCCGGGCAGGTACTCTGTAAGGTACGTACGCGCTACAGAGCAACCCCTGGACCTGAGGTGGGAACTGGGGCCCGGCTCTACTGGAGTCTGGCGGTAGGACGACCGGGGAAAGTATTTGCCGCTCCGTCAAGAGTCCTTGTCAGCCCGATACCTAAGTAGCTAAGGCAGATAACCTTACCTAAGACTCAGTGACGTGGAGGCTTTTCACTGTGTGTAGCCCCTACAAGCACGGACTCAGATCGACCAGGCTGGCTACCTTACCTACACTACTGGCACAGTGGGACAACACACCTGCTTACCTAGAGTGGGGTCACCCCATGAGGGCGAAGCTAACCCTTTTCGGCATCATGTTTACCTCTTCAGCGTCCACATCGAAAGGCACCCCCCGAACACACCGCATCATCATCGCCATTTCAACATCGACATTGCGAATCTCATCAGAAACAAGTGCGGGCACCCCTACTACTGCTTTACACTTCAGATATCAGCCCTGAGACATCAACGTCGAGGACTGATCGCGCCCTATTTCTACTTCAGAGATTATACGGACCCCGACCAGGCGACGCGCTCACGCGCTGAAGCAGAAACAAGTCCTACAAAATGCCGTGCAAGACGAGAAATATGGACTCGGAGGAGGTAAGCTACCTGCGCCACGCGGAAAGCGCACACGTTCAAAGTTCACTTCATCCTGACCGTCGTTCGCAGAGGATGGCGGCCGCCCACGAGCTTGAGATGAAGCACGAGAAACACATCCACCAGGCACAACTAATCGCCAAGGAGGAAGACGCGCGTAGACAAAAGGTTACAAAGCAGGTGCTTCTCGCAGAAAACTCGACATTACGCGAGCAGCTCGCCGAGAAAGATGCTCAGATCAACCAATTGACCGACAAATGCGACGAGACGCGCTCCGAGCTGGACTCCTTGAAGGCCACTAGTCACGATCAACAGACCCAAATAAAGTCACAAACACGAGAATTCGCCAATATCAAGGTTGGTCCCTGTCGCGAGCCCGCCCATCAGTAAGAAACGCCATAGCTGATGAAGACAGGCCGAACTTGAGTCACTCAACAGTTTGTCCCAAGAGTCGACCAAGGTTCTTTCCGAGAAGCTTGCTCTTTCTCGAGAGCTCAATGCTTTAAGGCCCGAATTGGAGCATTTGCGGTCACAAGTGGCTCACCAGCAAACAGCCATCGCGGAGAAGTTGGCGTTGGAACGGGAACTCAACATGGTCGAGGTGCAATTGGCCAACGAGAAACGCGTACGGGAACAACAAGCAGCCCAAGCGGAGGGCAACAAGACAACCGAGGACGAGCTGAGTCGCAAGCTAAAGGACACCGAGAAGAAGTTGGCTTCCGAGAAGCGAGAAAAGGAACAATTGCAAAAAGAACTCGATTCTGTCGCTGCCGCTGCGCAGTCGGGCGAGGACAACAAGAAAGCGGACCAGGAGCTCAAGAAGAAGCTACAGGAGGCAGAGAAGATGCTTCTGTCCGAAAGGCGTGAGAAGGAGAGACTTCGTAAGGAGAATGAGGTGGCACTGTCGGAGGCTCAGGCACAGAACGAAATGCTGGAGCAGCGTCTTGACACCCTAAGATCAAAGCTACGGATTACTCAGGAGGAACTCAAGTCGATGCGATCCGAAGTCGTCCACACAAGTACCGTGCCTACGAAGAAGGCAGATACCGCCGCGCGGGTTGGCGGTGCCAAGGCGCAGAATGCTCGCAAGCGTCGAGTAGAAGAACTCAGCATAAGCGACATGAGCATTGGAACGCCAGAGGATGTCACACGAGGCAGGCGACAACTTAAGAAGAAGGAGCAAGCTCTTGTGGGCGAAAAATCGACATTCTCCATCACTCCTTTCTTGGCCAAAAGCAAGACTCTTACCGTTGAGGACGCGGTTGCCGAGGAGGAAGAAAACGAAGCCGATGTCAGCTACGTGCCTCTTGCACACCAGGCTCAACAGGCCGCTGCTGAGGCTGAGGCGGAGGCCCAGGCAAGTGCTGGAGAAGATGATGGGGCTGAGCCCGAAAGGGCAGACTCGGCAGAGGCGGAGCCCGAAAAACCCGCCCTCGCTCCCAAAGAAACCAAGACTAAGACGAAAACCAAAAGCAATGGAGAACCCAAGAAGGCGCGTGGCAGGCCCAAGAAGGCATTGGCTGAGGCATCCCCGAACATGCCTGTACAGGCCCCCTCCGCGAGCAATGACGTGGCCAAGTCAGGTTCTCTGCTTGACAAGGTTCTCGAGGAGCCCGAGGCCGGCGAACAAGAGAATGCAGTTTCTCCCGTGAAGACCACTGCATCGGAGAAGAAGGCGACGGTGACGAGTACGGGTGTGCGCGAACAAGAGGTCAAGAGAAAGAAGCGCAAGCTCGCCGGCGACTCAACCACTCTTTTCGACGACGACGGTGAGGCGGAGACTGCGAATGTCAAGCGACCTGGTGGTAAAGTTGCGCCAGGAGCCGGCAAGGCCCTTGGCAAGACGCACTTGTCCTTGGTGCGTAACGCAGGCGCATTTGGCAAGAGGACATTCTCTCCACTCAAGAAAGATAGGAGAGGTGTCGGTGCTAGTTTCCTGGCGTAAGACGAGGCCGGCGATGGATGTGTCTTTATCCGAGCATGCAGGAATCATATGCGGGTTGCATGGGCGGCGTTCTGGGATGGGAACTGGTGTTGGTGTTGTTGGGTTTATGTACGTATGGTATTCAGATCAAGTTGCATTTTCCTGAATGAAGAGGTCTTGAGGGCTGCAAATCTCGCCCAAAGCTTTCCATCCGATATGAATCCTCTGGGGTCTACGTGTGGTTGTGTACTAGTTGAAACTGAGACGTCGTGACAACCCTGTGAAGCTCACCTAGGCTGTTTGCTACCCCTGTTCGGGTGCGACTAAAGCTTGGGCCAATCAGCATGTCGAGTCAATGGTGGATGCAGAAGCTTCACTTGAATAGGTAAACAGGCTACACAACAACGACGGGCTTTAGTTGGAATACCTCCTTATACTCGGCTTTTGACCCTTCAATCCCATCGAAAGCGGTACGTGATCCTTGACGTGCCAATCTCTGAGCCATTTGCATGTGTAGTGGTACAGAGGACGGCCGTTTCCAAACAACCAGTACGCTCATGACGTCTGCCGCCTGCGGCACACAATGACAACAATGTCCAAATCACCCGCCCGCGCTTTCATGAGAGTTTCTAGACGCCAGTCTTTTCTCATGCTTTCTACAGCTTGTGCGGAGTGCCGGAATACACTCAATGCTGGCGCCGGTCAGACGCGGGCATCTTCATCCAACTCGAGATGGAAGATGAGGCAGGGCAAGGATATTTTCGCGCGCGAGGCCAAGGTCCAGGGCCTCAAAAGCAGGGCGGCGTTCAAGCTTCTAGAGGTTTGCACATTTTTGGGTTTGTCTTTGTGAAGATTTCCTCCGGTGAGCTGACGAGTCTGCCAGATGGATTCCAAGTACAGAATTTTCCGCAGGGGACAGACAGTGGTGGACCTGGTATGTTGCCCTTGCTCTCATGCAAAGACCCCTCAAGGACACGTAAATTGACAGTTTGACACAGGGATATGCTCCTGGGAGCTGGTCGCAGGTATGCACATATTTCATGAACTCGTGGGAGCATATGCAAAGATGTGTTGCTGTGTATCTAGGTCGCCGCCGACCGGACGAAACCCCACGGACAGGTTTTGGGAATCGACATCATCCCGGCCCAGCCACCAAAGGGTGTCTCGACGATCCAGGGTAACTTCCTCTCGCCTGATGTCCAGGAGATGGTGAAGGATTACCTCATCCGGCACAAGAAAGGCCGTCCGGCCCGGCCACCAGCCTCGACGACCTCATCCGAGGGAGAGGAGAGCATAGGCACAGACGAGTCCGCCATTATCAAGGACCAGCCGAGCTATATTGACATGGAGAGGGCGGGTTCAGAAACGCCCGACAAGTCCGAGTGTGTTGCTGAGACAACGAAGCCAAAGGATGGTCGGTTGGTTGATGTGAGTAATCGTCAACCAGGACAAGACTTCTGCAAGGACTGACAGAGAGGTCTAGATTGTATTGAGTGACATGTCAGCACCTTGGGACCAGACCACCGGGTTTGGAGTGAACAGTCTTAGTAATCCCTATCATAGGATGATGAACACGAGCGGCATGGCCTTTCGAGATCACGCCGGTAGCATGGTTCGTGTTCGTCTGGGATCAGGCTTCACATTTCATGGGGGCTGACGAGGTGTTGCAGGACCTTTGCATGGCCGCGCTCCAATTTGCCAACGATACGCTAAAGAACGGCGGCCACTTTGTTTGCAAATTCTATCAGGGCTCCGAGGACAAGGCGCTCGAGATGAAGTTGAAGACCCTTTTTGCGAAGGTGTTCCGCGAGAAGCCCGAGTCGTCTCGTAGCGTATGTTGGACGTGTCTACTGGGTTGTGCGACGAGGCTAACGTATGTCAGGATTCGAAAGAGGCGTACTTTGTGGCTCTTAGGAGGAAAGGTGAAGTAAGACTTCAAGGGGACAATGATAGCTTGTGAAGGCGGAACGGTCGTTACACACAAGTGTGGGAGGGAGGCACACACTTTTCAAGTTCATACACACACAACATATGTCAAATGAGATCACACAAGCAGAAGGGACTGTACGATATGAAGATAAAAAACCAGCCCAACGGCCGCCCAAGAGATGCCATTTGACGCCATGCGAAGTGTGTAGATCGTCAATTCTTTTTTGGATTCCTAACCACGCCAGTACCATGCAGAAAGTTCCCTGGGAAGCACGATGAGAGACCCTCATCGGCAGTCCATAGCCGTGATAGCGTGTCCACCAGTGCGACGAGAAATCGCACGACCAACCCCAAAAAGGAGCATGATGAAAGTGGTCCCGCCAGAGACCAATAGCACCACACAACCCGTTTAGACCTTGAAGCCGCGAGAGCGTCTGCGACCACGGGCACGCTCGAACTTGCGACCCTTGGACTCGACGTAGGGCTTCTGCAGAGATTGTTAGCACTCACGTATTATGGCAGAAGGGGGGGTTGGGGTTGGGGTTGGGGTTGGATCCGAACCTTGTGCTTGTGGGGACCGAAGCCGAAGTGCTTGACGGCCTCGCGGGAGTTCTTGGGGCCGCGGAGGAGCAGGGTGTTGCTTCCGGTGGGGGCGCGGAGGGCAAGCTGGTCGAGGGTGATGGCCTCACCGCCGGCGGCAGCAATGCGGGCACGGGCGGTGGAGGTGAAGCGGAGGGCCGCAATGGTGACCTTGGGGACGGTCAGGAGACGGTTGTCGTCGGTGACGGTGCCAACGATGACGACGGTCTTCTTCTCGTTGCCGTTCTTGATGTTGGCGGCAACGCGGGAGAGGGAGACGGGAGGGCGGTTGATGCGCGACATGAAGAGGCGGCGCAGGATAACCTTGTTGAAGTTGGACTCCGTGCGGCCTGCGAGATTGGGAAGAAACCAAGATCAGCAATTCATGTTTGACATCGTTGGCGACGCTCGAGGCGGGGGGGAGAGACTCACGGGTCAGGAAGCGGTAGAGCTTCACCAAGAGCTTGAGGTAGACATTGTCGCTCTTGGGAGCCTTGCGGTGCGTGCTGCGCACGTGGTGGCGGTCGAGATCAATACCTATAAACGGGGTGAAGAGCCCATCGTCAGCCTTTTGGTTCAAGCATGCTCTGAATGAGGCGGGAAGTCCGTCATCCACAGTCCCGAATCCCCAAGTCCCAAAGACTCCTCATCCTCTGCTCGCACTCGGCAAGGGGACAGGCGGCCATTGGGGTGGGAAAACAGGCAGGAGAGGATTTTTCTTTTCCGCGCGCCTAGTTCGCAGAATAGCAACAGCAAAGATCCCAACGAAGGGTTTTGCGTGCACATTCCACTCGCATGTAAAGGCTTTGGAATGGGAATTCCTACGTACCCATCTTGTCGTTGGACTCCCGGAATTGGCGATCTGAGTCGATGGGTGGCCGTGGTTTGTCGTCGTCGTGTAGATGGAAAGACTGTGGAAATTTCGCAACCGGGCCAGACAGAAAGAGTGGCAGCAAACTTGTGGGCGCGAAAATTTGCCCTAATGCACCGTCAGGCCGTCAGGCATCCAGTTCCTCTCTCTCTTTGTTCCCCCCACCTTTCTTCTCTCTCGGCTTGAGTGGCAGTGGGGCCGTGCACCTCAAGTGCCCATCTCAGTGGACCACACGCTGAGTGCCCTGCAGGAGCGCCCGGGGCCTGGACCCTGCAACGCTTGCTCCTGACCGACAGGCCTCGGTATGCCGGTGTAGAGTTCGGTGAGGGCAACCGCTCGTTAAATTGCCTATGTCTAGGTATCTGCTTGCCGTATTCTTTCACATGCCACAGCACGAAGCCAGATGGAGGGACCATGTGTCTCATGAAAGAATCTCAATTCATGCCGGTGTATTCAGACGACCTGCGGTCTAGCTTGTGCGAAAACAAAGGTGGTGCTTACTTGTCCTTCCATGACGGTAGCAGCCATGAGGTCCAGCTCCCCGTGACGCCCGGGACAGTTACTGGACAATTCCCTGCCCGTCTTCTGAATACTCAAGCTAGTCTTCTTCTTCTTGTTGTTGTTGTTGTAATACATTATAAAAACACTGATGGATGAAATGCCGGGTTGAATGAGGCAACCCGAGCGGCAGTCTCTCTGCCCCATCGTGACTACTACGCAAGCCACTGTCTAGTTGTAATCACCCCATGCTCAGTACTGAGGCTTTTTGTAAGCCGCCCGCCTGCATTTTGCGGCCGTGGCGTGTCGCTAAAGTGAAGTTGTGGTGCATGGCATCACCTTTTCAGATGTTGGCCTCCGAGTTGCCATCCGGCCTCAGCGACACCAAATAATCGCGAGAGAGCTCAAAGCTGAGCCAGCTGGATGCCATGCTTGGCGCAACCTTGAGGAGATTGGGCACGATGCCCTTGTAAAGGCCCTTGATGCCTTCGTGGGCGACGATGACCTTAATAGCATCGAAGATACCCTTGTACTGGTAGCCCATGCCCGTCATGGTGTTGATTTGGAATCTACGACGTAGAACGTCACTGTGATAAAGTCAGCACCGCGACCGATGCACAACGCTCCAGCGGAAATAACTTACAAGGGGTAAGTACACGTCTGAGCGACAGCTCCCGAAACCGCTCCGGCGAGCAGTTTCCTGACGGCGCTGGGGTTCTTGTCACCCTCAGGAGTCAGGTATTTGCGAACCCATTCGTAGACCATAAAATTGAGGCCAACCTGAAGAACTGTTAGCAATCAAGCCACCGAAAACAGCCTCTCTCATGAATACGTACGTAGGGGGCGACGCCGGCAACCGTCGGGATGATGCCACGGTAAAGCGCAGAAAAACCACCTTCCGTCTTGTACATCTTCCCCATGGTGGCCCACATACCAGGGAGCTCCTTTGGTCGGTCACCAAGCTCGGCAAAGGAGGCAGACTGGATGGAGAGGCGGGTCCGTACAATGTCGAGGGGGTAGGTGAAGAAAACGGAGGTAATTCCAGCAATGCCGCCGCAGGTCAGACGGGCAAGAGGGGACAAGTCTGCACCAGGCTGCTTCTCGAAGAAGTTCTGCTTGCGGTCAGTTGAAAGTCGCATTTACATGCTCAAAGGCTGTATGCGGTATGTATGTATAACAAACAATTTGGAAGAACTCACCCTCTTGTAAAAATTGTAGCTGCCAAACTGGACAGCTGAGTACGGAACAATGCGGACGCAATTGGTCCCATTGCCTCGCATGAAGCCTCTCCAGCCTTCCTCCCGCCACATTTTGGCAAGGCCTTGACCGACAGACAGCTTGTAGGCATCGCGACCAACACTCTGGACTTGGAACAAGATTTTGAGACGTTCGAGGGGCGATACGACAGTCCGAGAAACGGCACCAGCGACACCTCCAGCGCAGAAGGCAGCCACAACGGGTTGCGAAAACGTTTCGCGGACTCGGACCATACCAGCAAGGGCAGCTGGTTCCGCTGCGGCAGGCACAGCGGTATTGCTTGGGGACTGATGGCATACTCGCGTCAGTTTCGATGCTTCCCACGCCCCCAGCCGGCTGAATACAGAGCGGCATGAGATTTAGGTGTAGAATAGAGAAGACTTACGGGCGACATAACTTCAGACTACCGGTGGTCAACAAGCAGTGCGGGTGTGCTTTTTTCTCTCTATTTGCATGCGCAAGACTGTTGGTTCAGAGCAACCACACTGCTGAACCTCTGAAGCCGCCTTTGTGCTATGACGTTGCTTGCATTTAAAGCTCTTGGGGTTATTCTTTCGAGAGTCGTATCAAGAAGCTATGCGACTCTGGAGCAGTGGCTGAACACAGATGGAAGAATGCTTTCAAAGAATGACCCAAAAAAATGGAGAAGGGATAACGAGAAATTTAGAGAGAGCTCGACAACGGCAACGGAGGCATAGTAAATGGGGTATCTGGGATTGAAATACTGGTTTCGACCATTAAAGGCAGCTTCGTCGTCGGGGCGAGGGGGCGGAAGCGTGGGTGGTTTTCGAGGGTATCGCGGTTTTTTTTTTGGCCGAAGTTGGTTGTCGGGAAAGGCAATCTCCCATGTGCCGCGGCTATGGCGTGGATGGGTCCGACAATGATGATGACGGAAAGGTACGGGTAACAGACGGGTCGGTCGGTGCACTGCTATCAATCGTCAACGAGTGCTCGAGGAATTGCAGGTCGAGTCGGGGTGACGAGGCGGATCGTGTAGAGCGAGGGGCGCGTGGTGGGAGTCGAATACGAGAAGGACAGGTCGAACCTTGCAGAGGGAAGCGTTGAGGAAGAAGTCGGGCAGATGGCGGCGCAGTCGACAGGGCAGGGACGGCGACGAGATGAGAGACTGTCAGAGGTGCGCGAGATGCAACGGAGCGGTTGAGATGTCGTGATCTTCGCGCGTAGAGACCTTTGAATGTTGCTACAGTGTTCAATGAGGGGCGGCAAAGGTCCCAAGTCAAGTTCGCGAAAGGAAATGCGGACGCGGACGCAGAGACGCAGTAGGCGCAGGCGCAGATCAAGATCCGGGCCCGGGCCAGATCCAATTTCAGCTTCCAGCAAGTACCTAGGTAGGTCAGTCCCGTCGTCGCCAGTGTCATAGCCCGGCACCTGGCAATTAGGTGGTCGTGCGGGTGGCAGCGGGCACCTCAATGACAGTGACGGGACACTGAGCTTCTCAGCTTTGGGAGGAAGCCCCTCGTCGGAAGGTGTCCGTCCAGGTACCTCACCTACCTACCTGCCTCTTCCCCAGAGCTAGGTACTTACATGCCCGGCATCACCTAAACCCCTCCAAGCTGCCTGGGCCGGGGAAGTTAGGTCCTGTACACCTAGACATCTGTAGTGGAAAGCCAGAGACGTTGCACCCCTAGAACCCAGTGTCCTTGGCTCGAAAAAGGCCGCCCTTGGGTGTGGATTTGCTCGCACACGAGATCATTCCGGGTGCGGCCTAGGTTGCGATGCTTCTGTTGCCAGTCGCCAGTGGAGTCACTGGAGTGGCCTCCGACACTCTCTCCACACAAATGACGACAAGCCGGGGGGAAATGGGGCTCTTTACAGCCACGGACGCCCGCTGCAATTCGTGACATTTCAAAATCTCAAGTCATGCTCATGTGCCTCACGTGCTAAATTAGGTAAGAAACAGATGCAGTGATTCCGGCAGATGACAGGAAAGGAGAAAGAAAGACTTGGGTCATGGGGCTCAACGGTCTGCCAGCCCCGACCAGGCGGAGGAGGCAATGCCCAGAGTTCCCAGATGGGCGTTTATGGACTTGACGACTGCGATAGCCAACTGATGCTACTACCTAAGCCGCACAGCACGCAGCCAGCCAGCCAGCCAGCACCGGTCTGCAGACGCCAAATAGGCTACATAGTAATTGGACTCGGTTTGTGTTGCCGCATCATCTCATCCAGTCCCGACACTGAGGTCCGGGCCTTCTCCCACCGAATGTCGGCTTCGTCCGGGTTACATCGGGGCCAACTTGCCGAAACTTCACCTCTCTCTTCTTTCCGAGCCTCCGGATCCTCCCTATCAACACTCCCAGCGTCGACAAGCGCGCATGTACCATTCTCAACACTGACACCCCGCCTTGACTGCCGTCTTCCCCGCACCGAAATCTACACGTCCAAGACAGAATGGCCACCGGCCCAGCTTCGCCAAGCCCACGCGTGATCGGCATTCCTTGAAATGACCCCCACGGAAGGTAGGTGTTTGCCCGCATGAAAACATCACCCAATGCCACAACGGACCTTAATCACCCGAGGCCAAGCCCACTGGTAACATCTTCTCTTCAAGACCACGACAGACATCACTCAAATAGCACCGCGGAACAAAGGAACTCACAAATGATCAACAGACATCTAAACCCATACAATTCTGTAAAGACCTACATTCAATTTCTCTAAAACTACGAATTGGGAAATGATATCAAATGGCCGCCGCCCCAACCTTCGTCGTCTGAAGCTCATCGCCGAGACGGAGGTTCCGCCCATTGTCACTCCGATTTGACTAACAAAGTTTGAATGCTGCCTACTTCGGGCAGCTCAGCCCTCGCATTCCGGGCCCGAAGCCGAATCGGTCGAATCGAGACTAAAAAGCTCCCAGATGGTGAGGACACTTTACAGATCCAGGCTCAACAGGTGAGGGGAGAACCGGGTAAGAAAATCAGAAACTTTTGGCACAGCCGCGCACAACTCGACAAGATTTTGCCAAGTATACTTATCACTCCGCAGCGACATCCAGGTCGTCGTGAGCAGGGGGAGGGCTGTCAATGGCTGTAGTGCGTTCTCGTCAGCTTGCGGACTCCATGGCTGTCTCCTACGATTGAATACACGTACCCTTTCGGTCGTCGCCGTTGGTACCGTTCTCACGGTGGTCGCGCTCATCACGATCGTCCTTGGCATCCCGGTCACTAATACACAGCTGTCAACATCTCCATCGGGTGGGTCTGGCATCCCGGGGGTACGAACCGGCGGTCAGGACTGCGAGAGCGGTCACGAGTGTCGCGGCGTTCGCGGTCGTAGTCACGGTCGCGGTCACGACGATCGTCCTTTCTGGGGGAGTAGTCGCGGGTGCTGCGACGGGGAGAGGGAGAGCGGCCCCGGCGGGGAGAAGAGCGGCGGGGGGCACGCTCGCGGTCCCGGCCAGAGTCGAAGCGCCAGGAGGCGGAAGGAGGAGTGCGAGCCCACTGCGAACATGTCAGGATCGGACGGTTCGACCGGTTGTCGCGTCATCATACCTCGATCTTCAGGATGTCGTCGCGGCCGATGCGCTTGTTGTGCATCTCATGGTAAGCATCGTCAGCGTCGCGACGGTCCTCATACTCGACGAAGGCAAATCTGAGCTAGATTTAGTACGCAGGCATTCGGCGGAAACATGGTCAGAGGTGGGAATCAGTGACAACTTACAGTCTAGAAGAAGCCGAACGAGGAGCTGGGATGTCACAGCGGACTAGATGACCATAGCTACAGGGGAGCCAGAACGTCAGCATCTCCATACATACTCGGGATCTTGATTTTGTTTTTTCAAATATTTGTTTTCTCGATTTTGATCTTTTTGTTTGTTCAACGAGACAAAGAGTCGGGCGCCGGGCGGGCTTGGCAGAGCCAGGCAGGTAGCCTCGTGAGTCTGTTCTCGCTGGGACGGAAGGCCGGCAGACCAGGGCGGCGCGGACAACAGGCGGCGGGTTGGTCGCGCGGGCCGAGGCGAGCGAACGAGGACTTGACGACGCATCGACGGGGACGGAGGGCGAGGGAGGCATATAGTATTGATATGCTGAGGCAGGAGCAGCGGAGGAGGACGGGAGGACGAGGAGACGAGGACGATGGGCGGGAGGGGCGAGGGAAGGAGATGAAGAATCGGAAATCTCGGAAGGCTCTCGCGTGCCGGGCAAAACAGGACGGACGGAGGCATCGACGTGGGAGTTTCTGAGTTCAGTTGACATACCGTTCGAATTCGTAGGCGAGGTCTCGGGCGCGCGTGCCGTGGCTGAAGCCAGTCACGTAGAGGGTGGTTCCACCGCGCGACATGATGAGCTGTGTTGACTGGTTACGTGGAGAGAGGAAACGAGTTCAAAGGCTAGGAGAAGAGGAAGCGAGGCTCTCGAACGATGGGCAAGAGGGAGGAGAAACGACAATTGAGGGCTGATGGAGCAGCTCCGTTGACGAGATGGATGCGCTTTGGTGGTTTGTCGTGGAGTGGTGATGGTGATGATGAAGTGGTTAGAGGAGGAGGAGAAAAGACAAGACAGGCAAACTGGAATGGGTTGGTTCGGGATCGGCCTGGCGCAACAAAAAGATTTTGGTATGGCTCTGGGGGGGCCACTGGCACTGGAACGAGCTCGGGTTCCTCACGGTACCTACCTTTGGTACCTACCTCAGGTACGTGTCCGAGAAGGAGAGCCCCATACTTAGCTTGTGACTGGCTGGAGGACGTCAGTGGCCAGTCAAGACACTACCGCGCTCGGAGCTTGGAAACAAAAGCTTACGTAACGGCGGATGCCCAGCCAGGTCACGTACATACCTTACACTGTGCCTACGCTACCTAAGGTACCTAAGGTAAGGTATGGATGGACATGGCAGAGGGTCGCGTTTCAACGCCAACGGGCAGTTGCCGCTAGATTGGCAGCTAACGCAGGTCAGGTCAGGTCAGGTTGCCTGTCTGTCCTCACTCCTCAGTGCCCTGTCCTGCCCTGCCCTGGGCTTCTCTCCTCTCTCTCTGTCCCGTCTCCCAAACGGAACGACAGGAACACCCCCCGGCCCGCTCGACCACGGGTGATGTCATTGGCAGCCAGCGCGCCAAATTTACTTTTGGCACTTGCGGAAACAACTCCAAGGTCACCGTCTACACTCACCGAGCCCCCCCCCGTCCGTTTCCCGCTTCGGCATCCCGGTCAGCAAGCCTACCTATGAATTTGCACTCCACCACCACCACCACCACCACCAACAACAACAACCTTTGCTGCACGACGTGCGTGACCAACGAATGTTTAACAGACAGACCGACCGACAGACCGACAGACCTTCAACCGAACGAGGCCGGACATTCGACAGAGACAGCCCGGTGCGCACCGACGGATGATACGGGCCCCAGGGTCGAGCGCGGATGCAAACTGTCTCTCCGCTTCCGGCCACACGATGCGACAGCTTGATGTCAGAGAACACTTCGTCTTTCCTCTTGCTACCTACTCGGTAGCCAATGCTGTAGGGTTTGTTCGCCTGCCGAGCTTCAATCGTCCGATCACCACATTGGAGGCGAGTTGGATGCCACCCTGAGGCTCTCCAAACCTTTTGCTCAGTTGAGGCGACCAGGCTTCCCACGGGCACCCCAGACTCACTCTCTCCTTCTCTTGTCTGGCATCTCCAGGGTCGTCTCCAGGGCATGCGAGACATTAATCGTCGAGGCAGTGAGTGGATAGAGACATGCGGGAGATGGTCGTCGCGCTTGTCTTCCATGTCTTAACCATCTGCGCCATCCATTTTCCCTCCCTTTCGTCTCTTCACGTGTAATTCGACGTCGACCAAGGAAACTCTTACATGGTCCAGTCGGAGGGCGTCAAGCCACCTCATTCGAGCATACTACTCGCCTGCTAAGAACATTGCCAACTGGGGTTGCCTGTATGGAGACGACCACCACACCGTCCTCATCCACTCGTTTCTCCTATGCCAGCGCCCATTTGCGCTTCGTACTGACTTCATGGAGCCCACACCTTACTCCATCCAACGTGTTCTTCTTACTCAAGTCGCCTCTACATAGTAAAACCCAACACCCATGTCCACGTACACCACGCCTCCGTCCGTGGTCCTGTGTCCTCTCGCTGTTCCAACGGGATGCGCGGGATCTCGCAACTCGCAATCCCTCGGAGCAGCCTTTTGTCGTATTACTCGCACTACGCGACACTCCGTTCCCTCAAATGCCCAGACGCTTCCCGGCTTATGGCGCCCGCGAAGACGAGAAACCCCCTTCCCCCCCGGAAACCTCGGCCGCAGTTGATCACCCGCCGACGTCTTTGTCTGGCCATCTCAGATCATCTCGGATCGATGTCAGAGGCGGACGACCCGCGATGAGCCCGGCAGACCCGTAAATCCTTCACTTCACTGCACCGCGCTCTCAACGTTTTTTTAAACCGCCATCGTCCTCATATTTCTGCTCTTCCCACTTGACGTTTCATCCCGACTATGGTTCAATTCTGGTTCGCTTTACTTGGCCCATCTCCATTGATGCTTTTTGGGACTCATCTCGTACTCGACCCGAGTCATTGGTAGCTTCTTGCAAACGTACGTCTTCCCGGTCGCGCGGGCTGAGTGACATATACTTCCCTGTCCCGAATCGCGCCGCCCTACTTCGCCGCATCGCAGTGTTACATCGACCTCGGAATAAGCGTTGTCGCACGTATACACGCCACAGCAATATCTCACACTCTGTTCATCCTGACGACAGTTTCAAGTATTATAACCAAACAACACTGGCGCTGACATTTGTTGACGTCGTCAGGGCGCCTCAGCATCTCGACCTCATCTTATAGCTTTCGCCGACAGAACCGTAAACATCGTATTGGTGCTTCTTTTCATCTCAAGTGAGCTGTGCATAGCATCGTTCTCGCTGTGCCCGTGCGAAGACGCAGGAACGCACCGAGAACCCTCAGATTCTAGAATGGCGGGACGACCGGTGGCCTCACGGGAGTCACCCCGTGCATTGCGAGACGCATTACGGGCGGCCAACGGAGGCAGGACAAATTCCACAACCCCGTCCGAGACCACGAGCGAGGAGGACTACGACGAGCCCAAGCTCACAAGACGTCGCCATGACAGACCGGCAGCCAAGAACACATCGTCGCCTCTAAAGAACTCATCAAACCATGAGAGGAAGTTGTCTCTGGACGGCTCGACCTTGTCTGAAGCCTCGAGCATAGACGAGTCCACTGGAGGAGCTGACAGAAAAGACCTGAAGACGTATGTGTTGTCCGCTGATGATCGAGAGCTTCGCGATGTCATCAGACGGGGTCTCGAACGGGTATGCTCTTGGTGACTCTGTCCTGACAGGGACAGACTACGCACGAAATGAGGGCACAGTCATTGACAACAAATCAACAGGAAAAGGACCCGAAACGACCACGTCGGCCGGGGAAGTTCAGCGACCTAGTGTTTACTCGCCAATTCTCTGCCTTTGACCGGCAGAACCAGCAGACGGCAAATAGCCCCTTCCATGGGTTCTTCACGCTATTTTGGCTAGCCGTGGCGCTGTTCGTCGTCAAGATCGGGGCGGCCAACTGGAGGGCCACCGGCAACCCTTTGGGGACAAACGAGATTATGAAGACCATGTTCCGGCGGGATGTAATCGTTCTGTTGGCTTCCGACGGTGTCATGTGTGGCATCACCGGCGTAGGCTGGATTCTGCAACGACTCATCTTCAGCGGTTATCTTGACTGGAATCGGTCTGGTTGGATCATCCAGAATGTAAGTCTGCCGTAAAACATGCTGTCCTTATGTTCTTTCTTACACAGGGTTTTCTCATAGGTTTGGCAATCGATCTTCATCGGCAGCGTCGTCGGTCTCACCCTCATCCGAGATTGGCCCTGGACACATACCGTCTTCTTCGTCCTCCACGGCATCGTCATGCTCATGAAGCAGCACTCGTACGCCTTCTACAATGGTCACCTCTCCACGGTATACAAGAAGCGAAAGTACCTCCTTTCGAAGTTGAAAAAGCTGGAACATGTTGCCCCCATCAACTCGCCTTCCACGACCAGTCCGTCGGCATCCACCATATCCGTTTCCCACCTGGACAATCCCCCGTCTGCAGCCGAGATGAAAGGCCGCCGACACTCCGTCACCCACACTCGTGGCTCTGAGACGACGGACGTCGACCGCATCTCCCACGCTATCGAATCCGGCGAGCCTCTCGACGCCGACCAGGTCCGCGTGTTCGAGCGCATCATCAAGTGGGAGATTGACGGGCTCACCGACGAGCTGAGGGGCAAGGCGACGAGCGTCGCGCGGGCGTACCCGAACAACCTGACCCTCGCCAACCATTACGAGTACATTGTGTTGCCGACCGTTGTGTACGAGCTCGAGTACCCCCGTTCTGACTCCATTGACTGGTACTATGTCGCCGAGAAAACGGCCGCTACCTTTGGCATTATTCTCGTCATGATCATGGTGTCTCAGGCTTTCATCTGTTGGTCAACCCCCGCGCCCACTACTTTCAGACACAGGCCTAAACTGACGACTTTGACAGATCCCGTCGTGATGCAGACTGTGGCCATGAAGGAGACGGGCATGCCCCTCGCTGAGAGATTCCGCTACTTCCCCTGGATGTTAAGCGACCTCATCTTCCCCTTTATGATGGAATATATGGTAAGCACTCAGACATCCGAACACACCCCCTAACATTGATGCAGAGACTAATGGAAAGCAGATGGCCTGGTATCTTATCTGGGAAACGATTCTCAACACCCTGGCGGAGCTCACCTACTTCGCCGATAGGAGCTTCTACGACGCGTGGTGGAACAGCGGTAGGTTGACCTTTTCCCAAGCCGACTCGCTCAGAAACTGACAAGGCACTTCCACCAGTGTCCTGGGACCAATTTGCGCGTGACTGGAACCGGTAACCTCTAACCCAAACCCTCGAAACCCCCTGAGCCCCAGCTGACGATCGCTAGCCCGGTGCACAACTTTCTCCTCCGCCACGTCTACCACAGCTCCATCTCATCCATGAAGGTGAACCGCCACACTGCGACGCTCATCACCTTCTTCCTCTCAGCCTGCGTGCACGAATTGGTCATGTGGTGCCTATTCAAGAAGCTCAGGGGCTACCTCCTTTTTCTGCAAATGTGCCAGCTACCGGTATGTGGATCCTTCTGCCCTTCTTCAACCAACCTATCTCAAGATGATTCTAACGGGAGGGAAAAAAGCTTGTGCAGCTCAGCAGGACGAGTTGGATGAGAGGTCGCAAGACACTGGGCAACATCATGTTCTGGTTCGGCATCTTTACCGGTCCCAGTCTGCTCTGCAGCCTGTACCTCATCTTGTAAACTTGACTCAAGTACACATGTCGAGAGAAGATTTGTACCATACTCACAAGACTGTACCACGTGAGACGTATAACAGAAAGTTTCAAAGTACAATTTCGAATATAAAAAGTTCTACATATTCTCTCGAGGGAACACGAGGCAGGCAGGGAAGTCTTTGGGGGATATTCTGATGACTTGGATTCATTCAACTACAAAACGCGCAATCAACAAAGCCTCGCCGAAGTTTTGGCCTTTTTCTATCCTCATTGACAAAACATAACGTTCACGCCGCGTAAAAAATGGTCGTCAAGTCGGTTTACAGCCCCTGCTTCTCCGCGGTGGCCATCAGGGAGCCTGGGTACGGGTTAGCAAAAGTGTGCTGAAAACAAGCGTTTGCCAAAGCACTTACCGATGAACGTAGTCACCAGACGGCTGCGGACCTGGCAAATATCCTCGGGCACCAGCCAGATGGTCGCTCCCATCTTTCTCGCGATACTGATGCTGAGCTTGGCGTTGAGGTAGGCGTCGTCGTCCGTGTGGCCAGGGGTGACGAGATCGTAGTCGACGTAGCTGCTCTTCATACCGTTGAGCACATCCAACAGGAAGACACCGGTGCCGATGGCGGGGTCCTTGAAGGAACGGATGCTCGAGGATTTGCCGCCCTTGCGAGCCATGTCGTTGGCCCATCTGACCATCTCCGAGTCTGTAATTTCACGCTTTCCAAGACGCTGTGCCAATGTGGATAGAGTGACAGTGATGTCCTTGCGCATCAGCTGCCAAACCAAGCCGAGCGTCAAGGTGCGCTGGCCGTCAGTGATATCCGCACCCTGGATGCCGACAAGCGAGAAGCGGTTCTGCTTGCCCAGCTCAATGGCGTAGTTGGTGTTCTCAACAGCCTTGAAGCGCAACATCTCTCCACCGTGAGCCGGAGGCTTGTTGACATGACGCCAGTTGACAGATCCCTTGATGACCTTGTCGTACGCTTGCAGAAGTACAGTGCCATCGCGCAAGTCGTCGAAGAAGGACTGAACTGCGGGCTGTACGTCCAAGCTGTTGAGCCAAAGAGTGAAAACGCGAGCTTCCCTCTCTCCTTCGGCGTCAAAGTCCTCAACCTCCAGCTTCTCCTCCTCGGTGATGGGGTCGAGCGCGGGGTGATTGTTGAAGAGGTTGGCAACGAAAGCCAGGTTCAGTTTAGGGTTGCCGGCAACCAAAGAGGTTGGCGTAAGGAACTTGCGGCAACCCATCCTGTCGGCCGTTTGCAGAATCTCTTCGGCTCGCTGCAAAAGATCGCGTGTCTGGAGAGGGCCTCTCGTCGCGCCGTACTCGGAGCCGATTTGTGCCAAGAGCACCGTGTAGTTCTCGCCGTCCTTGATATCGGTCGAAAAGTTGTTGACCCTGTCATGCGTCAGTCACAGTCTCCCCTGAATTGGGGCAATTGACATACCTGCGAGGCCAGTTGGCCGCCTTCAAGTGGTAGTTGAACCATCTCAGAAGAATCTGCTCAGGGGGAAGGCGCAGGAACTGCTCCAAAGTCTCGTCCTCCTCGAGCAAGCGGTACAGCTCAGGGTGAAGCTTGATGTCAATCTTGCTCAGCAGGCCACGACGGATGATCTGCCAGATCAGACCAAGAATCAGATGCTCTCGGCCTTCGATAATATCACCACTGCCAATGTTGACAACGGACAGACCGATACCCTTGGAGGACTCAATGACGATGTTATTGTTCTCCGTCATTTGGAAGGCGTTGAGGTTCTTTGCCTTCTTGGGGCGGTTCAGGACACGCTCGTCGATGGTGTCAGGGACACTGTCGTTGATGAGCTTGGCGAGCACCAGACCATCCTTGCACTCGTCGAACATCTCAAAGGTGTCAGTGGGAAAAGGTAGGCGGTTGCCAATATCTGGGTCGCCGGCCAGAACGGCGTTGATGTGGCGGGTGAATTCGGTTCGCTCATCTTCGTTGATGGTGTGGGTGACGTTGGCGTTTGAGCCCTGAACGTGAATCTTGCCAATGCTGGCCTTTTTGGCATGACCACCGGTTGCTTGCGCGACAATGCCAGCGGGCGCAGTAGGACCTGTTGACATGCGTTTTTGGGCAGGAGAAGACTCGCGAAGCTTGGCAATCAGCTGTAGAAGGGTCGGTCAGCAAAGAGAGGGAAATTGGAGGGCTGGGGCCAGGGCGAGGGGTGGGTGGGATGACGGCGACGTACGGCGACGTAGTCCTCGAGCTCGACACGGCGAGACGAGTCGAGGTCAACCTCTTTCAAGGCCTGTCTGACGACATCGTATGGCTGGCGCTCGCTCTGTTGGGTAGCTTTAATGGCAGTAGCCTCGTCAACGTAGCCCTTGTCGTCAATGTCCAGCTTGCGGAAAGCGTCGCTCAGGCCGTAGATTTCGTTTTGGGGGAACTGAGGATACTTCCTGTCGGCAGATGTGCGTCAGTAATGGCCAACCCCCTGGGTGATGAATCACGGGGTGCGGGGGTTTGCAATGCGCACCTCTGGAGCTTGAGAACGTTCATGATGGCGGATGTCTGAAGGAGGCGCGGCGGGAGGAGAAGGGAGGCACAACTCGCGGATCGAGAAGGAGAGGTTGAACTGGGTAGGACGGCAGCAAGGGCCTTGGAGTTGGAGAGATTGCGCTCGGCGCGGGAGGAAACCGAACCACGAGATCAGGGACCAAGCGGACCTGGGAGCGGTAGATGCGCAGGAAGCTCCGGAACGCACGGACGCTGGCGGAGGACAGTTGAGGAGGTAAGGTGCCTCACGGTGAGGGAGGAATGCGAGGGATTGTGCTCGATGGGTGGGCAGGTAGATGGAGCTGCAATTTGGGTGAGGAGGTGAAGGGACGACGATTCCTAGTGGTGGCGATTGAGGTTGTGGTTGTGGTGTTTGGTTGTATGTATGTAATGGGGAGAGAGGCAGAGGCACAAGCAGCAGCAAGGCAAGAAAGATCAAGCAAGGCCGGGGAGGTAAAATGTCAGAGGCAGCGCCCGAATGACGGATGATCGCAATGGTAAAGGTAATGAGTGGATGGGATGGACACTGGGCCCAGGCGAGGCGGAGCGGAGCAGAGCAGGGTGCAGGGCAATGCGGGGGCCAGATAGCAGCAGCAATAATACGGCGTACCTACCTTCCTACTGCATAGTACGCACCTCAGTGTGAGAACCCGAGAGACCTACCTTACGTTACTCTGTACAACTACCTTACACTAAGGTATTCGTACCTCCTCTCCTCCAGCAGCGACGATAATACTTGTTGGCGGGGGCGGGGAGGGGCCATTGATGTAATGATACAGGCATTAGCTGACCTGGGGATGAGGATTGGCTGCCTCGAGCATTCCAGCCCGGTACCTTGCCTCTTCTGTCTTGGCTAGGCGTCGACGAGCGTCTGCTATGAAAGATACATGTGCTCTCACTGCCAGCGCTGCGAACGAGAGGTATCTTGCGACTACCCGATGGCGCTTACCTCAGCTCGCGGTACGTCTCCGGCCCTTCCGCCGAATCGAATGGGTGCCCCCCGGGCTGCGGTCGCACAGGATACGCGGGAAGCCTGTTTCGCTGCGGCCTCCAGCCACTTGGACTTGCGTAAGGTAAAGACAGACAGACAAGACCGTTGTACCGGTCTTGCGTAAAGACCAACGTACGCCTTCACAGGCACCAGCTCTGACTGATTCTTGGCTCCTCGATGCTTCCTCCCTCATCTTGGGCTGCAGCCTTCAGGCTCCTCCTTGGGCTTCGGTCGAAGCCATCCCTTCCTCCATCCCTGGATTTCACATTTATGCCGCTACCCAAGGTATTCAACCAACGTAGCACAACACGACGGACGGACTGCCATGCTTCTCCCGCGTCTGGCTCCAACAGGCAGCCCAATGCCGTGGGTTGATGCCCGTTGATGATTAGCCCCTCTGGGCAATGTTCTGGAACATGTGCAAGTGCAGGGAAGCCCACGTAAGGTACCAAATGCGCAGAACAACCACGGCACAAATTAGTGTCGACGCCAAGGGTGGTGTCCGAGACTGGAAATCAACTGAGGTACCTATTTCAAGATGCACTGTGCAGTATAGCTCCCAATGCACCCCCTGGGCCGTGTGCTTCTACAAAGTAACACAGTCCCCGCTCCTGGTTCCCCCCCACCTCGAATTTTCTGATCTCGATGCCTTCATCGCGACATTGAAGCTTTTGTGTCAGGACAAGCGGCTCAATCCCCGATTCGCACACTTCAGACCGCATTCACCTGGCTGTCTCTGACTTACGGTGCTGCTGCTGCTGCTGCTGCTGCTGCTCATATCATCACCACCCCCCTTGTCGCCCCCTCACTTTGGCTCTCGCAGCACCAAACCTCATCCACCACAACCGCAAGTCGCCTTGCACACATCACAACCATGGCTGCCGTCTGCAAAGCCTGCCAAGACCCCCTGGTCATCAGCATCGAACCTGATAGCGACGATGAGGGCCAGGCCACCGAGGAGACCCAGAACGTGCCCGATGATCTGGAGCTGCCCTGCGGATGCCACTTCCACTGGTACGCAACCCAGTCTCACTAACATGATGAGATGACCTAACCATACTTACACCATGCACCAGGCAATGTCTCTTGGACCAATCCGCAGAGATCGCCATTTCTCTCAACTGCCCATCCTGCCAGAAATACCTGCCAACAAACCAGCAGGGCCCCTCCGTCACCAACCCCTTCCTGTACACCACCCCAGGCGCTGCCATCTTGACCCGCTACGTCAACGAGGGCGGACTGCAGGACGGCCTGGACATCCTGCCCAACATCACCGAGGAGGCCTACCTTGACGCCCATCCCGAGGCCCGTCCCGCCCGAGCCTACCACCTCATGTGCTCAGAAGGCGATGTTCAGGGCATCGTGGAGCTCCTCCAGGACGCCAACGAGGAGCTCAACGGCGACATTACTCAGCTGGGCCAGCTGATCCGCTACCAGGACCCCCTGGCTGGTGGCAAGAGCCCTCTTCACGTTGCTGTCGAGAAGTCTCAGGAAGAGGTCGTCTGGCTGCTACTCTGGATCGCCTCGCCCCTGCCCACTGATCTCTTTCCCCAGTCGGCGCGACAGGCTGCCGAGGCGCTGCAAATCGTTCGCCTCACAAATGACAACGCTCAGGACATCCGCGCCATCCAGAACGACGCTGGCCAGACGGCCGAAGATGTCGCCAAGGGCTTGCCCGCTCGCTGGGCCGCCCTCGTGGACGCCGGTATTTTGCATCCATAAGTAGTTTGCCAAGTCCGTGATAATGTAAAAGATACCCTTAGCTGTTCACTCGAGTAGTATGCACGCGCAATGGATCATGTTCAAAGTGAGGTGACGAGCTCATCTAATTAGGTAACCAGCCCAACCTACTCGCCCATGTCTAATCTACTCTATCTCCGGTTCGCCCGTGACCTGTTAGAAAGAAGTTGCGACAGAATAAAGTGGCTGACGTCCTCATCAGACCAATAACTCATGTGCGATGCGATCGTGTTCATGGGATTGAAATCGAGCACACTCCTACCACACGTTAGCATAACCGAACTTGCATCATGGACATCACGTAGCACTTACTCCTGGATGCTGTAGTCGACACGTCCGTTGCGGTTGAGAGCTCGCACTTTCATCTCTTCGCGCCGCAACTTCTGAGACTTCCGTTCCGCCTCTATCCAGTCCGTCGCGTCGCCGTCGTCATTCGTCTTGGCCAGGTCCACCCGCTTCTCCTGGAACTTGGAGTAGAGTGTCTCCAGCTCATCGTCGATAAGTGTCATCTCGTTACCGCTCAAGCTCGTGCGGCCCATCATGGATTTCGAATCCGCCAGCTGCTTCTTGCGCTCATTCGTCTTCTCCCCCAGCTTCGATGCGTCAGAAATCACACTGCTGTCCGCCATGTTTGCCCCTTGAGCGGAGACTTGGGGTTGCGCTGATGCCGAGTTCATCTTGGCCACGTCCTCGTTGCTCAGACCGAGACTCCTGTTCAGTATGTTGCTGGCGATTCCCGCACTCAAGCTGGACCAGAGACCGCTGACGCTCGCGCCGACCTTCATTCCGATACCACTCAACCCTTGCTGTGCCACATTGCCGAATATGCCCTTCTTCGTGTAAGGCAGTACTTGGGGCTTGAGAGTGGACATGGCGGGAGATATGAGAGGCTCGAGCCTGTAGCTTATCGGGTCGGAAGGATGAAACACGTTGAATAGTTGTGCGACTTTTGGCGACGAGACGGAATATGGTAAGCCTGTGATTGCAGACACCCGTTGGGATGGAGATGTCGGCGCCGCTGCGAGGAACGGATCGTCCATCAAATCAGGATTTAAAGGACTTTCCGACGGAAGTGCATGGGGAAGGTGGCGTGCTGATATGGTCCTTTGCGGAGTTAGCATGCAGCCGGGCAGAGACTTGAATCGACTTACCGGCCCTTGAGCATCTGGAACAGGCCCACCGGCGATCCCAGACAGTAAAGGTCATCGACGTCGAACTCAAACTTGAGCTCATTCGCTTCGCGATCCCTGGCGCCCTCGGCCTTATCTTGCGGCTGCCAGAAGCGCAGAGCACTCCTTGGTGTGTCCGGGGCCTTGATCTTTTCCTTCTGCCGGCAGAGGATATCGAACATGATGGCAGACCCGAGAGAATGCCCGATGACGTGCACCTTGCCTTTGAACTCGGGGTTGCGGGCCATGAACAGCTTGAAAATCCTATTCGACTCTTTAAGAACGATCTCAGCGATCTGTTCGCGGTACGCGCTCTGGTACAGTAGAACGTCGAGGGCAAGGTCCGAAATCAAAGACCTGGCAAAGGCAACGCCCTCTATCGTTATGTCTTCTAGAGACGGGTCTGCATCATGCTCGTTGGCTGTGTCCTCTATGGTGCTGGTTGAGGTTTACTCACATTCATCTTCGTCTAAGGCGCCGTCTCCAATGTCCCGTTCATTCTTCTTCTCTCTCTTCTTGGGAAAGTCCAACAAGTGTCTCCAGCAGACAGGCAATACCTGCACTCGACAGTTTCTCGGCCCATCTTCCAGTTCCGAGTTCAAAGCCCGCAAATCTGCGGAACTCGAGTAGACCGATTTGAGGTTCTTGCGGAGGATGTTCACGTCGTGTACAAAGTTGACGCTCTCCATTCTGTTGCCGTTAGTCATCGTAACTTCTCCGAAATGCCAAATCAACCACGTACCGGATCCCGAGAAGCTGGCCAATTCCATGAGTCACGAGCACCAAGTGCTCAATGTCACGTCCTTGCGTTTCGCCAAACTGGCCGTTGTAGTCGTTTTCGATCTCCTTCTCCTCGCGCTTCCTAATCTCTTCTTCCTGTTCCTCTTGGTTGCGATGTTCGGCCCCTTCCATCAAGGATGAGATCTGCCTCTGCAAGCTAGTCTCTCTGGTTTCTTCGTTCTCTGCGCGCGTCAAGTCATCGTTGGACTGCGACGGTCTAGATGTTGGTGGTGCGGATCTTCTCTTCAGCTTCTTTTGGTCTTTATCATCTTTCTGCGCCGGGGCAGCGGCCTCGGTGGGCGTAGCCGGCTGTTTCTCCTTTTTGTTCTTGGAGACATCAGAGTAACCTCTCACCAGCTTGACACCGCTCATGAAGCCGCCGCCGGAGAATCGTTCGTACATCGTCGAGGTCACCCAGCCTAGCATGCTGTCGGATGTTATCCAGGCTGTCGTGGAATCCTGGTATGTCGCAATACTGTTCATCCATGTGCCGAATAGCCTGTGAGATGAGGGTTGATGTTGATTCTGCGGCGGTTGCGGCTTGTTGTTACCCTCCGCGGCCGCAGAAGCCGTTGCAACGGCCCGCAAGTTATCAACTGACGCTTTTGGGGTGACGTCCTTCTTGTTTGAGTCGCTTCGAACTCGAGGCTTGGGATACAACCAAGGCTTGACCTTGAGGTATCCTTCCTCAAGCTGAGACGCTAGATTCTCCTCGCATGGTCTCAAGGACGAGCCTTCGTCGTAGAACCAAGTACCGCGGCGAACCTCATACACAGGCCCGAGCCAGTATACGGGCTCCAGCTCGCGTTTCTCAATGTCCACATCGAAGAGGTAGTCCTCGTTCACCGGAACGCGCGTTTTAGGGGCGTTCTCAGGGCTCGTCTCTAAGCTACTGTGCGCCCCGTCATCGCCGGTGGTCTTACGGCCTCGTCGAGAGCCGCCAGACACGTTGCGCTGCGATCGATCGCCTCTTCGCTTCTCGGAATCCTCCAGTAGACGCTGGTAAGCGAGTTCTATGGCTCTCGAATCTCCCTTGGCGAACGGCAGAAACTTCTTCGGTTGGTGCGGAGGCTTAGCATCGTCGGTGGGTTTCGGCTTGTCTCTCAAGAATTGCGGCTTCCGCTTGGGCACCTGGGACAATGATCAGCCATTTCAAGAAGTTCAAGGCTTGGAGCAACTGCTCTTACATCGGTAGCATGATACCACAGGACGTTGAGCGGAGGGCAGTCGGCGGGGTAGCTCTTGGTGCTTTGGCCATATAAGTGAGTGATGCTGTGATCACCTGGACGGGCCGCTGGCGCAGGAACAGGCTGAGGCGGAGGATCTCTTGGGGTGGGCGTTGAGCTCCGACTGCCGGACCAGGGATTAATAGAGTCGACGGCTGACGACAGGTAGGACTTTTCTGTTTTGCGGTCAGCGCCGCTGGGAGCCATCGTTTGCGACTGGGCAAAGGGCCATTCGGGGGTTCTCCGGGGGACTGTCGAATAGCGGCGGGAGACAGCGACAACAAGACTGAGTGTTTTGTGGCCTCGTCTCCAACGCAGCGGTGAGTGCGGGACAATGAGCGCCAACGTGGGAGAGGCCGGAGACAGGATTTATAAATGCGTCACCAGGTTCCGGGCGGATGGCGGGGAGAACGGGACGAGTTGGAGAGCAGTTTCGGGGAAGCTCGAGCTTGAAGGACGAAGACAAGGAATGCCAGTTTCAGGATCGAGCAAGAGCCAGGTCGACCAGGTTGCAGCGCTGAGCAGCCAAGTAGTCAGGGACGACGACGACAGCAGGTAACGAGGTATGGCAGCTGTCTGGACAGATTGCAGTAGGTGTTTGTGGTGCTTGTGTGTACCCAAGGTAGTAGAGGTGTGTTGTTCAAATGGAGGTGTGCCGGGCCTGGATCCGCAAGGTGAGGAGGCTGCCTTACCTAGGTGAGGGAGCCTTCATTTGGGGCGGGAAGCAAGGGATGTTCCACCTTCTTTTTTCCTCTTGAGCAGGGGAGACACAAGAGCCGGAGCTTCAGCCCGTGATGGAGGCAAATAAAACACCTTAAGGGTCGGGTGTGAAAAGAGGACAGACATGGAAGCGAGTGCAGCTGTGATGAGGGCGCAGAAGGCTCCAGTAAGGACTCAGCTGCCTTGCACATGGCAGGGAGCAGCTCCGGTCTTCAGGGACCCCATGACGCATCTCTCGGTCCCGTGTAAATGGAATACGACGGGGGGATCGATCGCTTAAGCTGCGGCGAATGATTAGACCCGAGGACTCGTTGGAAGGCGGTCTGGGGCGAGCCGCGGGGCAGAAGGGAAGCTGCAGCGTTCGTACTTGGTACCTCCACTCACTACCTTACGGTACCTACCTAGGTAAGGTAGGTAGGTAAGGTACCTATTTTACCTCATCTCGTTCAGCCACAGAGAACACAGAAGTGCCGTTTTCTTGAGGTGGGCGGGCGGTCGGTGGAAAACACCCCGTACCTAAGAGGCGAACTCAATGCCATCAAGGCAAGGTACCTAAGGTACCTACCTTCCCTAAGGCACGTTCCTGTGCTTCTCCAAACCCAACGCCAAAAGGCGCCCAGTCACAGGCAAGAAGACTCATACCGAGTGATGCTCACCGTCGCACTGTGTCTTCATGATTCATTCCACCACTGGGACCGTGATAATCTCCCCAAAGCGTACTTCACACTGTACGCGCACTGGTGGGGCAGAGCTGCTTTTTTTTTTTGATGGTGGGGTACGACCTGCAGACCACACGCTGGACGCTGGAGAGTCCCTCCCGCGCTAGGTACAGCACCTTTTGCCGTGCCTCCATCACAAAATTTCCCATCCGTCTGCAACACCCCAAGCCAGCCTCCGACTCAAACTCAACAAATACATACATACATACAAACCCGATGACTCCGTCGCCCTAGCATCCCGTCGTGTCGACAGCACTAGCTCTTGCGATTGAATCAACACCACTTCTCGGGCCTCGAATATGACCCTGCGGCGAATGCGCAAACACACCAACTTCTACTACGACCGGTAGACTTAGACTGCGACGAAT